GTGAGGTCACCTCCATTGTGCTGGGAAGGGACGGGTTTTGGGACAAGGTGGAGAAGGCCCTCGCAGTGATGTCTCCTGTTGTGGAGCTGTTGCGCCTGGTCGACGGGCCAGGCGCAACAATCTCGAAGGTCTACTTCAAGATGGATGCGCTCGTCGAGAGAATGCGCGACCTCGAGTGTGTCGCCCCGGGTAAGAAGGCCGACATCGAGGACATTCTAATGCATCGGTGGTCGTTCATAACGAGTGAGCTGCACTGCGCGGCTGCTTTCCTTAACCCGGAGTTCCGACACAGTGCATTGGCAGAGCGGGATCGGGAGGCTCGCGCGGGGTTCAATATTTGGTTGTACTCGTGGGCGCCGAAAGATAAACCCACCCTCGACGAACTGAGCCGGCAAGTTGATGACTGGACCAAACTGCGTGGGTCATTCAACACACGAGAGGCAGCGGAGGCGGCGCGTGTGAAACCAGCGGCCTTGTGGTGGGAAGCATTTGGGGGAAAGTTGGACCTTCTGCAGCCACAAGCCGTCAAATTGCTTGGCCAAGCAAGCTCGTCCGCTGCATGTGAGCGGAATTGGAGCTTGCATGAGCTCATTTTTGGAAGACGGCGCACGAAGCTCATGCCGGAGAGACTGTCAAAACTGGTGTTCAACAACTGGAACACCCAATTGATCCGGAGTTGCACCCGCGGCGGTAAGGAGGAGGTCCACATCCCTTGGGAGGATGACCGACCGGTGCAGGCGGAAGTTGAGGAGTGGTACAACACGTGGGTGGCGACGGCGGTGTCCAATGACGATGACGCAGCAGACACGCTCGATGACGCGGAGGTGGGGGAGGAGGATGGGGACGAGCCACTCATGCGAACTTGGCTGCGAAATGACGAGTGGGATGACCAAGAGTGTGAGGCGGAGGACATAGCCCTCGTGGGCTCGAGGGGAAAGGACTGGCACGAGTGCACAAAACCCGGCCGCTACAGGGAACGCGAGCTGCGGAGGAAATCAGGCAATTCGCAGCCCTTACCGTCGGTGTTGTACACGGAAGAGGAACGGGCGCAGTTGTTGAAGGCACGCGCTGCCGGAACATGGTTGCACGGTGCAGGGGAAGCGTCCGGCAGCAGAAAACGTGGAAAAAAGAGAGCGCAACGCGAGTAAGTGGAGGAGGTGGTTCCGGTGGCGAAGGGGAGACGTGCGGACGGAGAGCTGAAACGCAAGAGGGGCCGACCCTCAAACGCGGAGCTGGCAGCAGCAGCAGATGACAATGAGGCAGCAGCAGCAGGCGACGAGGTGGCAGCAGCACCGTCGCCGGCATCCTCATCTTCCTCGTCGGACGATGAGGATGCAAGTGGGAAAGGGGCGGAGTCCATGGAACACGGTGAAGGAGACGGGGACGACACGGGTGATAGTTCGGAGGGTAGCGAGGGGCAATCCGGGGAGGAAGAGGAAGGAGACGGCGGGGAGGAGTAGGAGAGAGCATCAGAGCTCACTCCTGCAAACTTTGAAAGTGGGTAGTTTAGTTTTCAATTCCAGAACTTTGAACTTTCTGAACTTTGCAAACATCGCATTTCCGACGCTGTGAACTTTGGAAAGGTTTTTCAAACTTGTTTTTTGTGTTGTTTACTTGCACATGTCGTCTGCGTTTTACGGGATCATGATTGGTGATCTCATGATGGTGTGCTTCAATGTGTCGTGTGTGCCTGTTATTTGCCCTGCGTCTGTTGTTGTGCGCACTGTGTATCCACCTGCTTGTTCATACCACTTGCAGGTACGTATTGCCAACCTCCTCATTCCGCATTTCGCCCCTCCGTTTGCCTGTTTGAAATTGTGAGCTTGTTTGCTTTGTTAAAGTTTGTTTGCTTGTGTGTGTATGTGTGTGTGTGTGTGTGTGTGAGAGAGAGAGAGAGAGAGAGATGGAAGCCGTGCTTTATGCTCAAATCGTCAGGGGGAGCACAGAAGGGCACTGTTCTGGCTACGCAACTCACAATGTGCCAACCTCCTCATTCCAAATTTCGCCCCTCCGTTTGCCTGTTTGAAATTGTGAGCTTGTTTGCTTTGTCGAAGTTTGTTTGCTTGTGTGTGTATGTGTGTGTGTGTGTGTGTGTGTGTGTGTGTGTGAGAGAGAGAGAGAGAGAGATGGAAGCCATGCTTTATGCTCAAATCGTCGGGGGGAGCACAGAAGGGCACTGTTTTGGCTACGCAACTCACAATGCAGCATGGGGAGCACCGAAAAAAATAAAAATAAAAAAAAGTAATGTGGCGCATCTGCGCACTACCCAGGGGAACAGGCCTCAGTTGCGCGCGCACCAGCGCACGGCGCATACGGAAGTGCGCATGGCGCATACAGATGCGCGATGCGCGAGCTGCGCGCGCATCTGCCCCGTGCGCATGGCGCACCGCGCATGCGTAGCGCATGGCGTAGCGCACACATGCGCCGCAAGTATGGATAAAATCATAAAAATAAGAAAAAATAAAAAGAGAATTAAAATGAGTGAGTGTGCCAGCACTTTTTCGACACCGCCATCTTTGCCGATTTTTAATTATGTTTTCGCATTGACAAATGCCCTGAAAATTTACAGATATGTAGTTTACATAATCAATAACTCATTTAAAATTTTTCAGAAAATAATAAATTTTTTTAGGCCCCGAAATAAAGTGAAAACAAAAAGTTAAAAGTGAAACAAAACAAAAATAGTGAGTGGGCGAGCATGGTTTGACACCCCCATCTTTGACGATTTTTAACGTTTTTTTGGCTTAGCAGAATGGCTTCAAAATTTGTATGCATGTAGGTTACTTCATAGAGAACTCACAAAAAAAAATTCAGAAAAAAAAAAGTTGTTTTTAGGCCCTGCAATTTTTTTTGGCGGGGGCCGAAACAGGAGGTGTTCGGCCCCCGAACGGGACCCCGAACGCCCGAACGTTCGGGGGCCAGCCTGGGGCCCCCCGAACATTCAGTCAGGTAACCCTGTATATATATATACATTATTTTTTATACATATATTATTTTTTTGTCATTTCATTTATAATGCATATTTTGACAATGTATGTTATTTGTATTTATTGTTATGTATAATCTTATATTTTCTTCTAATATATAGATCTATA